CTGCAGTCACTGTGATAACGCTAAGCACAGGTTTTTGTCATTACTGTAGACAATAAAGCGAGAAGGGATCTCTGTCCCCCAGTGTAACAGTGATGCCATCAAACCTTGATTTTTATCTCAGTGGAAAATTCATTTCTCCCCCCCATTGTGTCAACATCTGTTAACTGTACCCCAAAGCTGCCTGCTGTTTCCAGACAATGTGTATGGCGTATGCAAGGAAGTGTAAAGGGTGCAACAAGAACAACATGGGGGGAGCTTGTCCTGTGTGGGTGTGACAGCGTACTGGGACGTGCAGCTAAGGAAGCCTCGTGACATGTGGTATTTAAGTTTGGTTGTACCGGACAAATGACATGATGCCCAAGGTAGGAACTGTTTAAAGGGTGTTCTGACCAGAGGTCAGCGCAGGTGCCAAGTCCACAGAAATAAGGGAGGCTGTTTTTGGTGACCCTGGTGAATGGCTTCTCAAGCCACACAGAGAGACACCCTGAATACTGAGCTGAGCATTCCAAAGAGAGTAGAAGAGGAAAATCTGAGGTTAAAAAAATTTCCTTGGCTGAACTTTGTATTACTCGTTAATCATTACTAATGCCTGTGTATGGTCATTTATGTAGAAAGCCATAGATTTACTCACAATGATGTTTCCTCTTAATGTTTATTAGTAATGCAGATTCAGCCCCTTTAAGTCACATTAAAAAATTTTTTTTTTCTTTCTTTTTACTATTGGGTCCATGTTCTCACCAAAAAGAGAAAGAGAAAGTGATAAATCACCCCCTAAGGTGGATGGCCACACCACATTCCCTTCCTTTTTATTCTCTCAGGATTTTGGACACATGTATATCCATCCGGCTGAATCCAGGACTTGAACCATGGTGTTGGCCATATGCGATTCAGCACCTTTACCTCCATGCCATCTGCTGATCCAATTTTATCTTTCATATTACTGAGTAGTACACTCTATAATCTACAAGTACTTGTTTCTGTCTGGGTGTAGTTTACACAGCACTCTGTGAGGGCTCTCTGCTGAGTGACGCCAATGGAGCTCACGGGTTTGTGTCTCAGTTCCTCTCTGGTCTGGACCACTGTGTGCTCGCACTGCTGTCCCACGCAGTACAGAAGTAATCAGCCTCATCCTCAGGCTGGAGCTCAGAGATGGTCAGGGAGGCTGTGCTCCCTGACCTGGAGCCAGAGAACCTCTCTGAGATCCCCGGGACTTGGTAGTTATTCCTGTGGGTCAGGACTCTGGGGACACGACCCTGGTGCTGCTGCAACCAGGCTGTTCCCTCGTTACCCCCATTGTTGCTGTCCCCAGTGCAGGTGAGTGTGGCAGTGTGCCTCAGGTTTTGGGACACCGAGGGCAGCTGAATCAGCCTTGCATGGGTCACAGATGCTGTAAGAGGACACAGAGCACTGTGAGAGCAGGATCCAATCCCAGTGAGTGAGAGTGAGGGCGGAGAAGGGAGTGGATCCTCATTCCCCAGGTCAGGTCAGCCCTCACCTGTGTGGAAGGTGAGGAGGAGAGGAGCCCAGGTCATGGAACAGCCTCCTCTCTGCTTCCTGAGCTTGATTAGAAGAAGAGATCCCCCCTGAGCTACCCTGAGTTTCTTTAAAAAAAATTATTTTATTTATTAATTCACTTAGATTAATTTGACCAGAGAGAGGCACACAGAAAAAGAGAGAGAGAAAATGAAAAAGCAAGCTACCAGGTCCAGGATTCAAACCATGGTCATCCTCGTAGGTGTGTCCAGTGCCCTAACCACCACACCACCTGTTGGTCCCCAAGTCTAAGCTTCTTTATATCTCCCTAACCTTTTGTGAGATGGTGTCACCGCATTTGAATAACAATGGGCTGATTGACTGTTCCTGGGCATCCCTGACCTGAGTACTTGGGTCAGAGAGGCAGAGAGGGAGGAGATGAGTTCATTCAGTGGGTAGAAGAGCCTGGCCTGTCGTGACCCTGGGTCCTGGCAGGTCAACTGTGCAGCCCAGACACAGTGCAGTGAGCACTCTGATGGCTGAGCTCCCCTGGAGGCCCCGTGGGGGGCCTAGAATAAAGAGGTTATTTCAGGACTGTCCCCCACTGCCCTCAGGCCCCAGCAATACCTGCCCTCTAGAACAACCTTCATGCTCCAGTGAGAAGGCCACTGGGTGTTCTGATCCACTTTTTTTTTTTGAGAGAGAGAGATTTTTTTGCTATAGGGTGCGTGCGCTTCCCCAAAAGAGAGACAGAGAGACAAAGCGAGAAATCACCCCTCGGGAGCATGACCATGCTACAATCCCTTCTCCATTCTCCTCTAGGGATCTTGGGC